GATCTGCAAGTGAATTGATATTAACCAATCAGAAGTCATATTGGTCTATTATTTAACATTAGCCAATCAGATGTCATATGGCCAGCACAACCAGATCATATTGGTCCATGACTCGACATTAAACATAATATCATGAATGAGAGCCAGAACTAAATTTCAATATAAGAATTTTCTATAATCTTGGGTTCTGGATAATTTAGATTTAAAATGTAGTCTTGTGATCTTGGGTATGGATAGTTTAGATTTGAAATGTACTATCTTGTAATCTTGAGGCCTGGATAGTTGAGGTTTCAAATGTACAGTCTTGTAATCTTGGGATCTGGATAGTTGAGGTTTCAAAATGTAAGGTCTTGTAATCTTGAGGTCTGGATAGTTGAGGTTTCAAATGTACAGTCTTGTAATCTTGAGATCTGGATAGTTGAGGTTTCAAATGTAGTCTGTAGTCATGTAATCTTGAGGTCTGGATAGTTGAGGTTTCAAATGTACAGTCTTGTAATCTTGGGGTCTGGATAGTTGAGGTTTCAAATGTACAGTCTTGTAATCTTGGGGTCTGGATAGTTGATGTTTCAAATGTACAGTTTTGTAATCTTGAGGTCTGGTAGTTGAGGTTTCAAATGTACAGTCTTGTAATCTTGAGGTCTGGATAGTTGATGTTTCAAATGTACAGTTTTGTAATCTTGAGGTCTGGATAGTTGAGGTTTCAAATGTACAGTCTTGTAATCTTGGGGTCTGGATAGTTTTATGTACAAAAAAAAAGTTAATCCTACTTGGAAATACAATATTGTATTTTTCTGAACCACAAAGTAGTAAAAACCTGATTCACTTATGTTTCAATTCTTATGACCTAAACAATCATTTATCATTCATTGACTTACTCTTTCCTTCACATTGCCTTCATCATTTGAGTTCATTCTGCATTTCTTTTTCATTTATTCATTTATTCTCCAATCCTTTTGCTTTCACTCTATATTCCATATGCATTGTACTTTCATTTTCACTGGCAACATTAACTGTTTCAGGGTTTGTACAAGTACTCAGCCATTATATGAATAATATCTGAGAATAGGTTTGTATAAATTGGGCATGGTAATAGTTTTGTGATATTACTACACATCTTATTTCCCAGAAGGCCACTTCACTATGCGTTATTACCTAAACACATCTTATTTCCCAGAAAGACACTTTACTATGTGATATAACCTCAACACAACTGGAATACTCTTGTGTTTTCTTGCTTTTTGACCAAGCAAGGTATTAATAGTCTAAAGTTGCCACATTTTTAGACTGCCAAGTGTTATTTAAAAATTGGCTGCTCATTCTGGAACAGTATTTTCAGTGATGGAAATGCTTAATAAGCAGCAATAGCCAACTGGGAACACTATTTATGTAACTTGTGTTGACAACCAAAAATAGTTACATCTCTTAAATTATAAACTGCAATCTCACATTATTCTTGCAATTAAAAATATATTCCTGAAGAATATTCATGCATTTTGTCAAAGAAAGTGTAAAAAAAAGACTTTCACCACTCTGTTGTCTTTAGATTATATACTGCCATTTATCCAACTTTTCAGACCATAAAAAAACACTTTTCTTACAGTCTGGATATTGTTTGCAAATGAAAATTTACATTTTTTCAAAAACATCTTTTAAAAATATTAATATCTCCATTATATACTGATGCTTTTGAGAAGACAGTAGTAAACCAGACTGCATTATATGCTTGTAGGAAGATAGTAGTAAACCAGGCTGCTTTATATGTTTGTGATCAAAATACAGAACACCTCCATAATAATGTTATGTTGTTATCTGTTACAAACAAAGAAATCTGGCTGCAGTTTGTTTTTCTTTATGTTTGTGTAGATATATTATCACTGGAGATTAGTTTGCACAAAGAAGCAGTTATTTTAGATGCATGTTTCTGAGTTATCTTTTCAGTAAGAGTGACATCCCTTTTAATGCATGTCCACATCGAGACAAACCAGTGGTGATGGTACAGAGAAATGATAGGTTTCTGTCCTACAAATTTGATGGCCTCCACATTGGAAAGAAATAGTTTGTTTTTTAATGTAGTAGGTATTGAATTAAAATTAATCTGGCTCTCTCCACATATTAATTCACAACCAAAAATTGGTTATATAAGGCAATGGAGTTGCAATTTTAAGGTAATCCATTGGTGAAATACCAATCATTAGATTTGGTTAACAGTCTCTGGCCTAATCAGCCACTAGAAAGAATAAAACATAAAGCTAGGACTCTGGCTATAATTAGAGAAATCAATGCAATTGCTATATCACATGGTAATCTATTTGATCACTTCTTTGAATGTGGGTCAAAAATAAGTTTCTGTTTTCCACCAGCTTAAAAAATGTATCTACAAAACATTTTGTGTATTTAAATTTTATGTGGTGCTGAAATCTATTACAAAATTTAAAACTATATCTAGAAAATAGGACAGTATCATGATCATGTATCATCTATTTGAATGGGAATGGATAATATATATGACATGGTAATGCACAAAAAATATATCAATTTCAATATCACAGCAAATATGAAAAAGATTGTAACAAAAGTTAAAGCAGAACATGTAAGTGGAATGAAAATATATAAACAATAAAGTGAAATTGTTAATCTACATGTAGAAGATTATGTTGGAATTCCATTATAAATTTCCATCTTGTTTGTCGACAGAAAGAGTAGATAGATATGACCAGGTATGTCTACTGAAAGCGGGATAAGCTTTATAAACATGCTGACTGGCAAAAAAAGTACACATTAATATTAATTCTTCTAAAAAAAGAAACATAACAAATATTATTTTACAAAAAAGCCTTTATCTAGCTTTGAAAAGAGTATTCTCCTAAAGTGAAATTTGTTTAATCTATATTGTTTCTCTTTTATTCAAATGGTTGTTTAATGGTGTTTGCATATCACATAACAAATTCTTCGGGTCTGACTGGCTGATTACAGATATATATTTTATGTTAGTATGTATTTCCCCTTGAACATGGAATGCTACACCTTACTATAGGAATTAAACTGTTTCGAATTCATACTAGTGCCAAATGGTATATGATGTCACTTGAAGTCTTGTGATGCAAAAAAGTTATTATTGCCTTTTCCCTTCGGGTACTGTGCTCTTACAGTGTTGTTTTGTGAAGGACAGTGTTATTGCTTTTGACACAATACCCAATCAAACAATAAAAGAGAACAGTTCATTATGCAAAAAGTCATTAACAGAAAGCACTACAGATATTCTTCATGACTTAAAGATAATATCCTATTACAAAACAACAGACTAGAAAAAAGACTCTTTAATTGATTTCTGTAAATTATATAAACATATAGGCATAAAAGTAATGTGTGTAATAACCATGGAGTTTTGTTCCATCATGACTGTTATCTAAGTGTAAAACTGTACAGAGGACAGTTCCATCAAGGCTGTCATCTGTGTACAAAAGACCTTGTACAGAGGACAGTTCCATCAAGGTTGTCATCTAACAGTGTACAAAAGACCTTGTACAGAGGACAGTTCCATCAAGGTTGTCATCTAACAGTGTACAAAAGACCTTGTACTGAGGACAGTTCCATCAAGGCTGTCATCTAACAGTATAAAAAAGACCTTGTACAGAGGACAGTTCCATCAAGGCTGTCATCTAACAGTGTACAAAAGACCTTGTACAGAGGACAGTTCCATCAAGGCTGTCATCTAACAGTGTAAAAAAGACCTTGTACAGAGGACAGTTCCATCAAGGCTGTCATCTAATAGTGTAAAAAAGACCTTGTACAGAGGACAGTTCCATCAAGGCTGTCATCTAACAGTGTACAAAAGACCTTGTACAGAGGATAATTCCATCAAGTTTGTCATCTAACAGTGTACAAAAGACCTTGTACAGAGGATAGTTCCATCAAGGTTGTCATCTAACAGTGTACAAAACACATATTGGGTATACTGAATTAAACACAACATATTTGGTTTTCAACATAAAAAATGATCCAGCGAATCAAATCAAGCAGCCAAAAATAAAACAAAGTTTGGTCAGTTTAATGGGTTTTATGAGAGAAGTATATTACAGACTACACAATGAAGGACGATTGTATGTGTTTCACGTGTTAGTTAATGGAAAAAGCACAAGAGATTCGTCCGCTTCACCTTTCACCATATCTCATCTCATCATTAGTACATACACGAATGCTTACTCAGTAGGCAAGCATATATACAAACAGAATATTGTAAATATGTAAAACAAAAATATTACAAAGATAACTTTGAACAAAAATATTACAATGATAACTTCGCAGTTGACATGAACATAGGAAGCAAAACATGAACTGAGGAATGAAATAGCACCAAGAAAGTGCCGAATATCAAGTACACTGAGTTGGATTTTCCTGACAAACACAAGATCTAATATCATTTTATAGGAGATTAAGAATCATAGCTGCCAAAGATGAATGTATACAATCTTATTTAGAAAAAAATAAGATTTTATGTCCTGTAAATAGTGATGGAAAGGAAATAAAATTTACAGAAAACCAATTCATCAACTCTGCCCACTGTTGCTTGGGTCATGTGACCCACTTCAGCTTTCTGCAAGTAAAATCCAAACCAATGTCTTAGGAAAAATAAGAAAAAAAAGGTCAAACAAATTCAAGAAGCCTGAAGTTTTGGCACTAGACAATGCTGTTATCTTTTCTAAAGGTATATCAATAAAAGTATGTGAAATGTAACACACAAATTTTTACCTTTATAATAAACATAAAACTGATATATATATATAGAATGTTATAAGACATAAATAACTTTCAGTAAACTTGCATCATTGTTGACTAAGATGCCTACTATGATGTTATAAATCAGTGGATACCAATACTTTTTATTAGGATCTGTTGTTGGTCTAGTGTTTTACGACACAGCAATATGCAGATTATTTAGAGCAAAGGCAGCTGGAGTAAATAGCCTTGTCCAAGGACACACCATAGTAACCAAACAAGGCTGATCCAATTGTAAGATTTGAACTTGCACCCTTTTGATCAAAAGTCCAGCATTTTAACCAGTGAACTACTGCACCTCCTCAGCATCACTACTAATACTATGAAAATGTCCTTCCTATTGACATAAGTAATCCATTAGAGGAGTACAGTATCTAATTGCCAAACTGATATCTATAAATTATATATGCTGACACAGATTGTGCTGGTTGAGATTAAAGTCACTCTTGTAAACACCCATATACTCTCTAGTTATCTCCCTTTGCATCATGATGACATTATTATTATTATTATTATTATTATTATTATTATTATTATTATTATTATTATTATTATTATTATTATTTCTGGGTTATTTATAATTTAAGAATACTTTTTTAGTCAATATAAACATTTTTTTCCATGATCACAGTGCAGTATTATATTCACACTATAACACAGAAATACAGTAATACATTAATGAAAATGTAAGCAAAAATCTGTACAATATATCATCTTTTTGGATGGGTGGGTAGGAATAATGAGTAGTTTTCATACACTTAAGCATTTTGGCAACACAAGTGACTAAAAAATACAAAGTTTATTTTCACACACAAGGTAATAACCATTTAAACATTATTGAAGATGTGCATTTGCTTGAATCTATTATAATGACTAAATTATAAATTATACATCATATGAATGACTATTAAATGGGATACTTGTACAATGTACATATTATGGGTAAGTGCAAGTTATAATTTATTTTATAAAACAAGATCTTAGCATATACATATGTTTAATGAATATACATATTGTTAAAATTTAAACAACAATTTTATCCTTGCTCCTAAAACTGAGTTTAAAAGCCCAGCTCTAGCTAAAAATTGGATAATCTTAACATTCTGTAAACTTAAAAGAGAACAAGCGTCATCAAGGGATGATAGCCCTGAATTTGCTAACTTATAAAAAAGCTTTTTATGAAACTATCCCAAAGTTCAGCACTCAATTTTCATGTTTCCTATGTTACACTTTGTTTCCATGGTACCATAAAATATAATAAATGCAGAAAAATCCCCGTTTTTAAAACTTGCTTGACATATTTACCAAGATTTGGCTAAAATTTGACCAGTCTGATTATTATGCTCCAGAACCCCCAATTTTGCTTACAGACAGTCAACAGCTATTGCAATTTACGTATCTCCGATGAATTCTATGCCACAGAGAAAGCAAATTATAATCAAAGAACTATCAGGAACTTTGTAACTAATTCCCATCCTTGCATGTTAAATCACAGGAAGAAAATTTTACTTCAAATCTAGTATTTTTGAACCTGAACTTTCAATTCTGTGATCCAAAAACTTCTTTGAATACAGTGTGTCATCTGACCTGAATGCTACTAACTTGAGATTCCATTCCTAACAAATTGCTCTTGGTGAATAAATGTCTGTACTGACAAACAGAAATCTTTGGCAATTAATTTAAAAATAAATAAATATCATGCATTTTTCAATAAGCAATGAAACCTGTTTATGCAAGATAGATACCACAGAATGTATTCATGAGACAGATGCTTTTATAATTGTGTTTTGACTCCACTCAAACCAGCACTTTAAACTCCACCATTTAAAGAGAATCTTTGTGAAAAATGCTTTCTGCACCAGACTGATGTAAAATAAAATGATACTAATTTTTACCCGTAAAATGGCATCCTGAAAAGATAGAAATGTATGTAGAATAATGCGATCCAATAAATAACTTCAATATCATAGCAGATCACGACTAACTAGAGTCATGGATTAAAGGCTGAAGCAACAAAAATATTATTATGCAAAAGGTAGATATGTGTAAATTCAATCACTAAAATGATACACTATGCTACAGTCTTGCAGGACAGATCCATTTAAATCCAATCACTTTAATGATATGCCATGCTACAGTCTTACAAGACAGATCCATGTTACACCATGCTACACAGTTGAGACAGGTCTGTCTTAATCCAAACACTTTAAAGATACACTATGCTATACTCTTACATGACAGATCTGGGTAAATCCATCCACTTTGTTGCTATACAATCAAGACATCTGTATAAATCCAATCACTTTAATGATGCACCATACTACAGTCAAGAGAGATCTGAGTAAATCCAATCACCTTAATGATACACCATGCTACATTGATCTGTGTTAATCCAATACCTTTAATACCACATCATGCTACAGTCTTACAAGACATTCCTATAAAACCAATCACTTTAATGATACACCATGTTACCCAATCAAGACAAATCTGTGTAAATTCAATCACTTTAATGATACACCATGTTACCCAATCAAGACAGATCTGTGTAAATCCAATTACATTAATGATACACCTTGTTATTCAGTCAAGAGAGATCTGTGTAAATCCAATCACTTTAATGATACACCTTGTTATTCAGTCAAGAGAGATCTGTGAAAATCCAATCACTTTAATGATACACCATGTTAATCAATCAAGACAGATCTCTTTAAATCCAATCACTTTAATGATACACCATGTTACTCAATCAAGACTGATCTGTGTAAATCCAATCACTTTAATGATACACTATGCTATACAATCAAGACAGATCTGTGTAAATCCAATCACTTTAATGATACACCATGTTACTCAATCAAGACAGATCTGTGTAAATCCAATCACTTTAATGATACACCATACTACACAATCAAGACAGATCTGTGTAAATCCAATCACTTTAATGATACACCATGCTACACAATCAAGACAGATCTGTGTAAATTCAATCACTTTAATGATACACCATGCTACACAATCAAGACAGATCTGTGTAAATCCAATCACTTTAATGATACACCATGTTACTCAATCAAGACAGATCTGTTTAAATCCAATCACTTTAATGATACACCATGTTACTCAATCAAGACAGATCTGTGTAAATCCAATCACTTTAATGATACACCATGCTACACAATCAAGACAGATCTGTGTAAATCCAATCACTTTAATGATACACCATGTTACTCAATCAAGACAGATCTGTGTAAATCCAATAACTTTAATGATACACCATGCTACACAATCAAGACAGATCTGTTTAAATCCAATCACTTTAATGATACACCATGTTAGTCAATTAAGACAGATAGATCTGTGTAAATCCAATCACTTTAATGATAAATCATGCTACACAATCAAGACAGATCTGTGTAAATCCAATCACTTTAATGATACACCATGTTACTCAATCAAGACAGATCTGTGTAAATCCAATCACTTTAATGATATACCATACTACACAATCAAGACAGATCTGTGTAAATCCAATCACTTTAATGATACACCATGCTACACAATCAAGACAGATCTGTGTAAATCCAATCACTTTAATGATGCACCATGCTACACAATCAAGACAGATCTGTGTAAATTCAATCACTTTAATGATACACCATGCTACACAATCAAGACAGATGTGTAAATTCAACCACTTTAATGATACACCATGCTACACAATCAAAAGAGATCTGTTTAAATCCAATCCCTTTAATGATATACCATGCTACACAATCAAGACAGATCTGTGTAAATTCAATCACTTTAATGATACACCATGCTACACAATTAAGACAGCTCTGTGTAAATTCAATCACTTTAATGATACACCATGCTACAGTCTTACAAGACAGATGCATCATATTACATAGAATTGTGTTAATCCAATTACTCTAATGGTATACCCTGCTACACGGTCACATATCTTAATACAGAAATACATAGGTAGCTGAATCTGAGTATGGTTGCTAAATCTGGCAAGTCCTGGAGCATCCAAGAGTTTTAATCAAACACCCACACCTAGTACCTATGACATATTCTCCTGCTTTTTGAGACAGGTTTTGTTAACACTATCAACCACAATTAAGCAAACCTCACTTCATGCGAACAAATTGGCAAGTACATCAGAAATCTAAATTCTTGAAAATGGACCAAGCCGACCTTTCCTCTTAAAAAAGATTTTTAAGACTTTTACAACTAAAAACTTACAATGGCATCTATAATACAGCAATCTGACTGGATGAAAGTTAAGTCTGTTTAAGATGTTTTCATTCTAGACTTAAATTCAGATTCCAGTTTTGAATGGGCTAAAGTCAAAAGCAGGATGCAGGTAATATTAGCCAGGTGCTCTTATCACACCAGCTGTCTACCACATGTCAGTTGCAGAGACACAAATTGGCACTTATAAGGCTCAATCAAGGTAAAGAAAGAATTGTAGAGATTTCTAAATCCATGTATATCAATAAAAAGGCTTTAGCAATGGCACTGAAAGTTAATTAAAATAACTGTAATTCATTTTAACACCTACATGCACTTTGAAATTAAAGATGGCATTATTATAACTTCTGTGTTCTGGCATGTTGTAAAACACCAAATTTACAAAGGAATGATATTCAATGACTGGTCAGTGTCTAATGATTACTATTCACTTCCTTTTGGACAATATTTATATCATTTTGTTTGTGGCATATATATATATATATATATATATATATATATATATATATATATATATATATATATATATATATATATATATATATACATATACATACACACACACACTATACAGATGTATTACAGCTAGATACCATATCTAAGCATTCATAAAAGTAGTGTCCAACTGCAAACAACATTGATCTGATCTGTAATCACTTAAAGCAAAGGCAAATCAGGGTCTATGTTCCTTGTTCTACTGATGACTCTTAACAAACTGCATAGATCCTGATTTGCTGGTGCATTATGGGATGTCCTGTCTGAGTCTATGCAGTCTGCAGTTGGATCTGACTGGTACATGAGCTTGTATGACTTATCTGGGAAATCTGATCACAGATCAAGCACATGTATATCTTAAAATTTGCAAGAGAGATTCAGTTCTACACACTCATACAGTATCTTGTACACCATTCCTGTTATATTAAAAACAAAACAACAACCCCATGTATACAGTGAAATCCCAGTGATCCAAACATCTACAAAATTGTGATACTATAAACAACTATACCAATGCATGACAAACATTTAATGTCATGGAATT